AGTTTTTTCTTATTATTTTTACATGCACAATCCATTCCAAGAGTTTGGTGCGATTCTTCTGACTCACCCTGTATATATTTTTAATTTACAGCAGATATTTAAACAATTATAACAATTTTAGTCGTTTGTATTGTATATTTTTACTAATGGAAGTTGATTAGGTATGCATAATATTTTTCAGTAATAATGTACTTTTTTAAATTGTAAATACCCCTTTCTGGTTGTTATAGACACCAATTTTCTTGGGTAACATTTTTTATTTATTTTATGAACAACATTGACAGTTACGTCTTAAGGAAATTCAAATAAATGCATCTGTTTCTATCAAATGAACCCATCTTGAAGCATTATTGGTAATAATGGTGTTAAATGGAAGCATAACGTAATAATAACGTTCATAAACAGGTAATGTGTTGCAAATTTATTAGACGTAATTAGCGTTAACTAATAAAACGGCTTATTGTCATTTACCAAGTGGTAAAAAGACAGTAGCGAGAAGCTATTTACCTAGTCACCGAGAAGGTTCAAGTAGAAGGTAATGTTTACATTTAAGTAAGAAGTTTTTTTTACAAAATTGTATTTGCACATTTAAATTTTTTTGGATAAATTCTGAATCACGCTGCTGTATTTAAACATCGAAAAAATACCTCCACGTGTTTTATTGTCTACTGAAAAACTAAAATATGTCCAATAATTTACATAGAGGTAAAAACTATACCAGAACTATAACGTTTGCCTAATGTTAGGAGTTTTATTAGAATAAGCAATTAAAAGCTGAATCATTTCGCTTTCTGCTTTCTCTAATATAGCCAGCCATCTGTTCAATGTTACGCTGTGCTAGATTTTGAGATGGTCGCTTCAAACGTACCCTTCCACTGACCACCTGTTAAAATTATTCAAATTCGACGCCTTTAGCAACAAAATTGCTAGTGAACGTAGGTATTAAATTGACCAAACTGTGTATCAAGCACAAAACGGTTTTCTGTCCGCGAACAATTCTTTCATACAGGGATAATATAAAACCACAACATAACTTTTTTCCGTTGCCCACTATTTATATTTTTATTTATCAAAAGGCTTGTAAAGAAGTAGAACCAAGTTGGATAGTTCGTCGTACTGCTAACGAGGCCGCTTGTTACAAGTTGTGGGTAATACAGTATGGGCTTTTATCGACAATTTCTGTTACTGTGATATCTGTGGTAATCTAGATCATTGTTCAGTGGGCTAATTACTATTTGCGGCAATATTTTGTTGTAGTTGTGTATGGAGCTTGGAATGTTGTCTAGTAAGATTTTATGAAAATTTAGAAAACTGAAAGTTATAAATAAATATTGCTTACGCTACTGTTTAATAAACAACAAAAAAAATCACAAATGAAAAAGTTGCTCGGCGTCACTAAAAAACGCTCTGTATGTGTAACCTCTTCATTACTCTTTCCCTGTATCTTCAAAAAATACGAAAAACTCCCCAAACGTGTCAAAATTATGCCAATATATTTGAAATCAAATTTTTACACTACCAGAATATCTCCATGCATTTAAAGTAAGTAAAAAACAGTTTGGAGAAATTCTCTACAGGTCTGCTGGATTGACCCATTGGATATTTTCAAGTATTGAGACGGATTCAGGCTTTGTTGTACGCTGCGTTGTATCAGCGAGATATAACCCTTGAATTCTATTCACAACAATATTGCGATATCAAATGCAATGCAATGCAATTGCAAAGTTATTGCCGCTACTGACATACATAATGGTACTTGATTAGTGTGAGTTGTAAAATTTGTTGAAATTAAATAAATTTTCAAAAATAAGTTGTCGTTTTATTGTAGCAATTTATCCAATTAAAGTAACAAGTTACAACTATTGCTCGTTTCCATTAACTGAATGATTTTTTGAAACTTACACTGTAACAAGCAATAAAGGCACGGAGTGAATTAATTAAGTAACATTACTAAGTATATTTTCACTCAATATTGAGCATTTTGATAATTTTACACATTTGTGATATTTGAACTAAAACTGGTTTTTTCACTCAAATACAGGTTAAATACCCGTTATACAGGGTGTATCTAAATAACACCGAAAAAATTCAAGGGGCGATTCTCCGATGAAAATTAATAGGGGTCTTTGGTATAAAATTTTTTGAAAAAACCCTCCCCTGAAAAGTTACGCCCCTCCTAAAATTACAAAAAAAAATTGTTTTTCTTTTTTATCTTCCACGTACATCAAGCTAAAGAAACCAAACTTGGTGAACATTATCTGTCAATAAAACTACACTTTTTGAATTTTTTTCAACCCTGAACTATTTTTGTAAGGGGTTGAAATAATCAACCCCTATGACATTTTTTCTTATAATTTTTTTTTCGATAAAATTTTTTCCTTTTAAAAAATATGTCTAAAAAACCCCATTCATTTACTAACTTTTTGATCTCTTCAAGTTTCTTCGAAAAGTTAAGGATTTATGACAAAAAAAAATAAATGTATTGTAATGTATTTTTAAAAAGATGAGCTGTTTAACGCGAGTGTATTTTGCCGAAAGATCTAGTGGCCTGTTCTTTACAATGGAATCCGTAGAAACAAATGTCAATGTCATTTATTGTCATATTAAATAACATTTTATTAAAAAACACTCAACCAAATAGTTGACCTATGATTCTACTAGGCTAAGAAGTTTGGAACTTAGACTAAAAGTGAACAAATGATGAATAATGTTATAACAGTAACAAAAAATAAAAATCTGTCGGATATTGACAATACAATCTACAAAAAATGTTGAAAATGATTGCCTTCAGCTTCAATACAAGCATCTACTCTTGTTCTCATAGAATTGCGTATGCGTTCAAATATTCCTGGTGAATTTTTTATCGTTTCACACCCTGCTACAATGCGGTTTCGCAAATCATTGATATCTTCAACTGGCCTTGAGTAGATCAAAGATTTCAGATATCCCCATATGCAAAAATCCAAAGGATTAAGGTCAGGGGAGCGGGCTGGCCAATTTACATATCCTCCTCGACCTATCCATCGATTGGCATACACCTCATCCAAGTGACGTCTTGCACGTATACTAAAGTGGGCTGGTGCACCGTCGTGCATAAACCATAAACGTTGCCTAATTTGAATGGGAACTTCTTCAAGAATAATAGGTAATTCTTCGAGAAGATGACAATATGAGTCACCATCTAATCGTCGTGGAAGAAAATAGGGACCAATTAAATGATCGTCGATAATTCCGAGCCACACATTTAATGAAAATTGATACTGATGATTTCCTTCAAAAAAGTCATGAGGATTTTCCTCAGCCCAAATATGATTGTTACGAAAATTTCTAATACAGTCTCTTGAGAAATTCGCCTCGTCAGTAAATAAAATATTTCTTAAGAACTGCGGCGCTTGGCCGATCATATTAATAAGCCATTGACAAAAAACCACACGTGGTAAAAAATCTCGAATCAGTAACGACTGCACCCGTTGGAGATGATAGGGATATAACTGTTGTTCTTTTAAAATTCTAAAAACTACCGAATGGCTTACATTTAGGACACGAGCTATTTTCCTGGTACTAGTTTCTGGGGATTCCTCAATTAAATTAAGTACGGCTTCATCGACAGCTTCAGTTCTAACTTCTCGGCTACGGCCACAGTCATGACTTCTCTTTTCAAATTTTCCAAGTTCCCGCAAGCGTTGGTGAATATTTGTGAACGTAGTATGGTGGGGTAATCTACGCTCTGGGTACTGTTCAGCATAAAGTCTTTGCGCTTCCAATGCATTACCGTTAGCATACCCATATGTAAAATGCATATCTGCCATTTCTAAATTCGAATAGTTAACCATATTTTCGGTTTATTAACTAATATTTTCTACACAAAATCATGAAACTTGTGAAATAGTAAGAAACAGTAACAATAAATGACATTGACATTTGTTTCTACGGATTCCATTGTAAAGAACAGGCCACTAGATCTTTCGGCAAAATACACTCGCGTTAAACAGCTCATCTTTTTAAAAATACATTACAATACATTTTTTTTTTTTTGTCATAAATCCTTAACTTTTCGAAGAAACTTGAAGAGATCAAAAAGTTAGTAAATGAATGGGGTTTTTTAGACATATTTTTTAAAAGGAAAAAATTTTATCGAAAAAAAAATTATAAGAAAAAATGTCATAGGGGTTGATTATTTCAACCCCTTACAAAAATAGTTCAGGGTTGAAAAAAATTCAAAAAGTGTAGTTTTATTGACAGATAATGTTCACCAAGTTTGGTTTCTTTAGCTTGATGTACGTGGAAGATAAAAAAGAAAAACAATTTTTTTTTGTAATTTTAGGAGGGGCGTAATTTTTCAGGGGAGGGTTTTTTCAAAAAATTTTATACCAAAGACCCCTATTAATTTTCATCGGAGAATCGCCCCTTGAATTTTTTCGGTGTTATTTAGATACGCCCTGTATAAATTCTGCAGATACACTCGTATTTGGTGTACTTATAGCTACATCGGAGTAAATGTCCCTATTATATAGTAACTCCCACCCTATTCTATGGTTGTCGTGCATTGTCTTTATCTATTCCCATCGTCCCCATTAGGTCATCTCGTGGCGTGGTGTATGGCGTGTAGTGCCAGACAAATGTCAACTCTTAATTGGTTTTACATACTCAGAATAGAGTCAAAAGTTATTACATAATAGTTAGCAGAAACTCGGATTTGAGTAAAAAAAACACTCACTTCTGTTTGAATAGTTTCACTCATACAATTTTAGTTGTACTCATACTTGAGTGAAAATTTCACTCAATTGGGTGTGATCAAAAATTAATACATTACTGAGTAAAAATGAGTGAATTTGAGTGACTTTTTTAAAATGTATGAGACGAAATTAACAATTTCCGAGAAAAAAAACAAATCTGGTTTTTTCGACACAGAAAAGTGGTATTTATAATAATTGTGTTATTGTTTCATCGACATCACTTTACAAAGATCGCTTTTTCACCGATCTTTCGATTCTACTCACCAAGACCCCGTGCGCTGTGTGTTCACTATCCAGCTTGCCGTCCACACAGAAGTAGCACTTGTTTTGTGGCGTCCAGTCTCTCAGCCTGTCCTCGGCTTCCGCCTTTTCGTTTTCCTTCTGGTATTCCAGTCTCCCTGGTCCGTCCTTTCCGCCGTCTCCGTTTGTCTCCCTGGTGGGCGGCGCCGGCTCGCGCGCCTGATTCGACTCGCTCTTGTCTAAGTCCGAGTCCGAACTTACTTGCGACTGCTTGGTGTCCTTGTGGTACTCGTCGTCTGATGGGTTTGTTCTCTTTATATTGTTGTTCAATGGTTGCAGATAACTTCTCGACATGGATTCTTGGTACAGTTTCCATTTCCTTCGACCCATCAACTCTTCAGCGATTCGTTCCAACCCTGCAACAAAAACCGTTCGCAATATTTAAGGTATACGAGTAGAAGGAGGCTGGTAATTGGGTGGATGATGTCGGTTAATGTTTTTTTTAGAAAACCTGAAAGACACCCTTCCCCAATAGACTAATTTCAACCGACTAAGCAAACCAATTAACATGTAGAGTAGCATTAATTCAGTTTGAGAATCAGTTATCGATTGATTTAAGTTCTTGTACTAAAGTTAGTACCAAAACTTTAAAGAATTGTAATAATAACACCAGTTCCTTATGTATTTGGACCCAAATCTGCCATAGGAATGCCCCATCATCCTCTAAGACATAAAATTAGCATAATCACATTTATGGGGTTTATTGCATAGATACTTTAAGGATTTAAAAATTCAGTCAACTCTTGCACCTCTTAAACTTCTACGAACAACCAAAAAACCACCTCTAAATCAACTAAAATTCTACATTTTAATCACAAATTTACAGCTCGGAAACACCAAAACTCACTAAATGCAAAACTGTGGCATATTTTGGCACTTGGAATAGGAAAAAATGCAGTTATGAAAAAATGCAGTTATGCGATTTTGTCTTTTAAAAATTGTAAAACTAATAGTTTTTATTTGCAAAGTTATTACAACAAAACATATAGATAAAACAAATAAATATGTATGAAACAATGCAAATCTCATGGCGAAGCTCAGATATAGACAACATGTCTTTCTCTGCAATACCACTTAAACCATGCTATAAACATAAAAGATAAGGTCGTATATTAAACATAGATAATTGGTTAAGCCAATAATAATCAAAAGATTTAGTTATAAAAGTGAATAGTGAATTTACCATAAGTATGTATATAATCGAATAAAGATGTTTTATAAATAAATGAAACAGTAGATGAAACAATAGGATAAAAACAATAAATCATACAATAGATAAAACAAGAAGTTACAACATTAATATTGAGTTTCACATAGTAACACTGACAGTCTTTTTTTTAAACTTCGCTTGAGCAATGTTTTAGTTTTAGAGGGATGTTATTATACATTTTATAGATATTATATGTAAATGTTCTCTCATATAATACAGTTTTGTGCGCAGGAGCTGATATTAGGCTTTTTCTCCGTATATTTATATTATGTACATTCGTTCTATATGTAATTAGATTATATAAATATGAAGGCAACTGTTTAGTTATGGTTTTATGATATAATATTTTTCATATTAAGCCAATTACTTTCTTTGAGTTTGTGTGATATATGGTGAAATTTTCTTATTCCATAAATAAACCTTAAGCAAGAATTTTACAATTTTTGAACTCGATGCAGATCATATGACGTTAAGCATATAGAAAATACTTGGGAACAATAATTGAATTGAAATAAAACCACACAAGCAGAGTATTTCTTTATAATATAAATGACATTCTTTTTTTAAGATTCAATATATTTAGTGATCATATTGATGCTATCGTTGCTAATGCTAACAAAGAGATGAGTTTTATTATACGCAATTCGAGAGAATTTCAATCAATCGACGTACTATTTGCCTCTACTTTTTTTAATATTTAAGGATTTCGTTTTGGCAATTTAAAAAACTGGAGGGTGATTGAGGATGAGGATATCCCACGGAAGATTCTCAACTGAAGAACAGATCATTTTCTTTTTGTGATACTATTATTTGAAATAGTAAATAACATATTACTGTAAATATCAATATTAGATTAACAGTGGTAATATCTTTACTAGAAATAGTTAATCTCATATTCTATCTCCTTTTAGTGGCTGACGATAATGCGATATGTATCTTTTGCTGAAAAAATTGTTCCGAAGACACGAGCAACTAGAAATACTAACAATTTCAGTAGAAAACGTCCGTTGAAATCTGTTATTATATCCATTATTTATTTGTGTGTGTGTGAAAAAAGAGTTTGACCTTCAATTGATCTGCAAGAACATCCTGAAATTAAAAAAAAACAACAAAATTTGGTGCTATTGTAAGAAATAGTATATTCCATTTAATAATAAGTTGACCTTAGTTTGACCTTGCAACTTGTGATAAAGGTCTAACCCAAGGTCACCATCTAAATCCTCAAAATTCTACAATTTTAGTTGAAGACCTTCCTGTTGAGTTTTTCAGACACCATATTCGGACGTAAAACTTGGTGGTCTATAAATTGCTAGTATAGGGTGTTCCGTTTAATATTTTCAAGTTGACCTTGGCCTGACCTTGAAACTTACAGTCAAGGTCAACTCCAAGGTCGCCAGCATATTGTTTTCTTGATATCCTACAACTTTTATCTGAAACTTACGTCGATATGACTTACTTCGATATGACTTAATTATAAATCAATATCGGGGGCCGGGGGAGGGGGTAAGTTCGTGTCTTTTTGGGACACCCTGTATATTATATGCATGAGTTTCGAAATTTTTAAAGTATAAACACTTTTATGGTACGTATGAATATTTCTTTTTTATATAGATAATTCCTTAAAATGACAAAACTAGGCCATGTTATATATCACTGGATTAGTAGAAGTAAATGTTTCTAATGTGGTTTTGTTTCATTTTCTGCAAAAAATAGTGTGACTTTTTTTTAAATTGACATTTAATTATTTTTCTGATTGCACACTCTGATTCCACAGAACTTAAATCGTAATAAAAAGAGAATTATGTATTATCCTGTACAAATTGCTCTTTATTACGGTGTCATTTTATTTTCAAATTTGTTTAGGTGAGGTTAAACATGTATGTAACATTTTTATGGGTATCCAAAAGCAGAACTGCGTCGGCGGGATAAATGGATCCAGTAATTAGGTTAGACAGTGGGACGATGGGTTTTTGTCTATTTGCAAAGGAGATCCGAATCTCTTGAAGAAGATAAAAGCATCTCCACTTCCTGTCTATTAAAAGAAGTTTCTATTGGGCTGGATTAAGCTGTAATTCGACAGTAAAACCATTAGATGTATAGGACTAGTTTATAAACTCAATGATAAAACTGTACAGGGTGTAAGAAAACACATGAGCCATACTTCGAGAGTAGCTTTAGAACATGTAGTTAGCTCAGGTTTGATTGTAAATAAGGTAACGTGATCTAAATCGTCTTTTTTTTTCATCCAAGGTAGCTACCCTTCAAGTATGGCTCTTTCCCTTTCGAATACCAAGATATAGGGCGAAAGTAGGTTACAATTATTTACACTGTTTTAAAGATATTGCGCTAATTCAAACAAATTCAATTTTTTTAAATATTTTTAAATCCAGGTATGCTAATGATATTTAACTCCACAAATAAGATTTCTAATACTTCTAAGATTGCTAATGTTAATAATAAAACATTTGCTTTGTAAAAGAAATTTAGTAAAATGGGCAAATATTTGTTTAGACAGAAAAACTATTGTAATCGATATGGTCAAGTTCAATTCTTTTGAAACTGTCAATTTTTCTAAAAGTTTGATGTTGGTAAACAGGGTGATTCACAACTTATCCAAAAAAAAATTGGGAATAGATGCGGCATTGAAATGGAGTCAATATCGTAAAAATTTTTTTGTAAAATCCTTAAAGTTCCCGAAAAAAAAATGATTGAAGTTGTAGTACTTTCAAGCATTACATCGCTGGACAACTGTAGTCTGTAGCATCATTTGCAATATGCATGGAGAGCCACGTGGCCTCAGCGACTCCGAATACTGAGAACAGATTTTACAATCGTCATTGCGATAGTGTTTACAATAGTTTTTTAGTAGTTAGTGTCAAAAATGGCTTGCGCGTATAGCAACTCCGAGTTGATGGATATCGCTTTAATTTATGGTGAAGCAAGACAACATTTGTGTTAGTTCGTAGAAACTGAGTAAGACGGGTGCAAATGTGTTTACACGTTGGTGGACAAAATTTTGAACACTTGTTCAGTGTATGTTAAATTACTTTATTAATTAAAACCAGAAATTTTAATTAATAATAACAATATCAGCAAAAGCAGTTAAATTTACTGATATAAAATAGGTGCTATAAAATTTTATTTATTCCTTTCATTGCGACAGTTTTTGTCTGTTTTTATCACGCTTTATCACGTCAGGTTTTACAGTGGACCAGTTTCCAGTGCCGTGCAGAAGTGTATTTTTAAATCATTTTTGAGCTGACCTTTTTGATTTTTTCTTTACAAAATTGTATTTGTATGAGTCCCCTGTACATCCAAATTTTTTTTGGATAATTTGTGAATTACTGTATATATTTTTCTCAATAGTAATTCCATATGAGAAGGGAGGTTATCTGATGAAACAATCGCACGTTAAATGCGAAAATAAAAAGATCTCTTTGTAACAGCTGTTTTTTGTGTGGTTAGTCTTTGACAAGGGTGACAATAGAATGACAAGAATATAAAAAATTCCACTGAATGATTTCATTATTTAACAATCAATATGTTTAGACATACCTAATACCATTTTTAGTATACTTTTTTATATTTAATATATTTATTTATTTTAGCTGCTTTCTACTAGCTTACTTCTGACTAGTTGTATTTTTGTAGTGTATTTGTTGGAATTAGTTTAATATTCCTAAATAGAGTAAAAAATGTGTTAATAGGTTAGAATTAATTTGTTTTTCCGACAAGGTCATCAAATTCGCCAAATTTCACAAAAAAAATTATAACAAAAATCAATGAGTTTAGATAACGTGGAAAATTGCTTTATTAATTAATAATTAAAGTTGCAAAAGAATTAAAAACACAATATTCAGTTACAGACTGGCTATGGATCTTTGACCGGCCTTTGTTGTTCTCGGGCTAGGCGCTATCTTAGAATCCCTAAGCCTGCCCTGGTGTTCATTAAGTTCTTATTACAAAAATTAACTCGTAGTGATTTGGACACAGAATTTTCTGTCTCTAGTACCCAGACTGAATTTTCGTAAATCGCTATTGTTGATTCTAAGCCCACTACGAACGGAAAAGCTCCTCAGACAATGATGGTGCTCTGAGGCTTTCCGCAGTGGCATCTGTAACAAGTCGCATCTAACCTTTCATCGT